AAGTATTGGACAGATAGGTCAAACTGCCCTCCTTAAAAAAAAAAATCTATAAAGACACAGAAGAGTTAAACAACACCACAAATCTTTATTTTGGCCAGGCATGGTGGCTCACATCTGTAATCCCAGCACTTTGGGAAGCCAATGAGGGCGAATCACCTGAGGTCAGGAGTTCAAAACCAGCCTGGCCAACATGGTGAAACACCGTCTCTACTAAAAATACGAAAAAAAAAAAAATTAGCCAGGCATGGTGGTAGGCACATGTAATCCCAGCTACTCAGGAGGCTGAGACAGGAGAATCACTTGAACCTGGGAGGCGGAGGTTGTGGGGAGCCAAGACTGCACCACTGCACTCCAGCTTAGGCGACGGGAGTGAAATTCTGTCTCAAAACAAAAAAAACAACGGTTGGGCGCGGTGGCTCATGCCTGTAATCTCAGCACTTTGGGAGGCTGAGATGGGTGGATCATGAGGTCAAGAGATCGAGACCATCCTTGCCAACATGGTGAAACTCTGTCTCTACTAAAAATACAAAAATTAGCTGGGTGTGGTGGCACACGCCTGAGGTCCCAGCTACTTGGGGGGCCGAGGCAGAAGAATCACTTGAACCCAGGAGGCAGAGGTTGCAGTGAGCTGAGATAGTACCACTGTACTCCAGCCTGGCAAGAGAGCGAGACTCTGTCTCCAAAACAAAAATAAAAACAAAACAAAACAAACAAAAAACCACAACTTTATATCTTTAAATCCTTGTATCTTTATAACCTTGGCCTAGGAAGGATTTCTTTTTTTTTGGAGATGGAGTCTCACTCTGTTGCCAGGCTGGAGTGCAGTGGCACGATCTTGGCTCACTGCAATCTCTGCCTTGCAAGTTCAAGCTAGGAAGGATTTCTTAAACGAGACATAAAAGAAACTTCCAATTACTCAAGGAGAACTGCAGCTGAGTAATCAAAATCTGTCTACACATTTTCCAAATAGGATATAAAGATCAATAGAAACAGATGACCCCGGAAACTGACACACAGCAAGATAGAGAAAACTACAAATTTCTGCTTATAACAAGCAGAAAATTTAACACCACTTTTCAGCAGTCTTCTATGGTCCCACTGTGAGGAGTGAGGGAAGCCTGCAAAATAGCATGAAAAGAGAAGAGAGGAACCCAAGGCCTGACTGTGAACTAAAACTGCTCCGAGAGAGAACAAGTCCACCCTAGAGGTAAGAATCATCATCATCATCATCATCATCATCGAGTCCTGATGAACCACAGCAGTGACTACCAGGACTTAAGAGGGTGCACAATTCCAGACCACAGCCTCACTCAGGCAGTATGACTGGAGGAAATGGGGGAAGGAGGAAGATGAAGTGACCTCTGGCAAGAGTAGTACTGCTTAAAACATTAAACCAGAAGAAAAAAAGCTATGGGAATTGAAGAAGGAGAATAATGGACAGAGGTTTTTAGAATATCCGGACAGTATTAGGAAGGGGCAATAGACTTAGGCTTGCAGTCGGGAGGTCACAAGGAAAGTCACAAATGGGGAGACTGAGTGGGAGAAAGAAGCCTAGCAAATGGGGGGCAGGAGGCTTCCTGAGAGGAGTCCAGGGACCCCAGGAGAACCTCTCACTCAGCAAGGACTGGAAGGAAGGCAGGGCCAGGTGGTCTGAAGAGCAGCCAAGGAGGCCAGAACAGCTTCCAGGTATCCTGGCCTCAGAGGAGCCTCCTCCCTCCCGAAAGGCTGTGTCTGTGCTCTGTCTACCCTGTCCTTCCCCTCACCTGCATGGGGGCCCGGCTGGCGTCTTCTCTCTTCTCCCCAGGGCGCTTCCCCTTGCTCTAGCCGCTTGATGAGTTCTGGTTTAGAATGGAGAATTCCTGCTCACAGGGAAAAAAATCATGAGGTGATTCCTGGTTGTAGGCTCCAAGGGCCATTTGCTGGAGCTACCCAGGGAAGGAAGGGAGTGAGTGTCAGAGGGGGAAAGCTCAGGAGGATCCTGTCTACCATGCTTAGATACAAGCCCCCAGGAGAGCCCCAGCACGGGGAGAGAAGCCTGCAGGTACCCAGTGACAGCCAGCATGAAGCTCTACCAAAGCCAGACCCTCCCCAGGAGAATAGAGAAAACATCCTTGTCTCTGAAACTAACCCTGTGACAACATCAGAGGCACCACAGGCCAAATGTTAAACCTAGGGGAAGCCACACTTACCTAGTGAGATCAGGTGGCTGTAGTTCTCCAGTGTCACCTCCCTGTACAGGGCCCTCTGGGCAGGGCTCAGCAGCCTCCATTCCTTCTGGGTGAAATCCACAGTCACATCCCCAAATGCCATGACAGACTGTAACATAAAACCCAGGCCTGCTCACCAGGGATGGCAGTGCACTCAGGCAACTGGAGGATTCAAGGATCTGCCACCTGTGCCTGGAGTTCCAAGACCTCCATCTCTGCCTGGCCCCAGTATTTATGGTGCTAGGTACTTTTCATGCGGCTTCCTAGAAGCACAGAGAGTTCAAACCTGCGTGGAGCTTTAAACCTAGGCAGGGAGAAGAGGAAAACTCAAAAATTAAATGACAATGTTTCCTACAAACATATAACAGTAAATAGCACACTACTAAAGTTTTATGGTACCCTGGGCCATCTTCTGAGTTAGAACTACATGAATTTATAAATGAGGAAGATACAGCTCTCATGGATCTTCTGACAAAATGAAAATCGATCATTTGGGACCTGCCCTGGAACATGTAAGTCTCCACTGCAGGATCACAGAATTCAGATCCAGCCTAGATGATTTCTACCAAAAATCCAATGCCGTATAGGGCAGTCTGAGCACATGTGAATTAGTGGATGGAGCACTTTTGAAAGAGCCCTTCTCACAGTACATCTGTTCTGCAACTATACATGTGACCAGTCTGGCATCTCTGTAGGTGCTTGATGAATTTAAATTCCATTCATGGACAATTGCAGTAGCTTGCGCCTGTAATCCCAGCACTTTGGGAGGCAGAGGTGGGCAGATCATTTGAGGTCAGGAGTTCAAGACCAGCCTGGCCAACATAGTGAAACCCTGTCTCTACTAAAAATACAAAAATTAGCTGGGTGTGGTGGTACCTGCCTGTAATCTCAGCTACTTAGGAGGCTGAAGTAGGAAAATTGCTTGAACCCGGGAGGTGGAGGTTACAGGAGCTGAGATTGTGCCACTGTACTGCAGCCTGGGCGACAGAGCGAGACTCTGTCTCAAAAATAAATAAATAAATAAATATTCCATTTGTGAAGCTCATCAGGACTACTAGACTCATGAGTCAGAAAGCCTCTCCTTTGACCCTTAACTGTTCATCTCTATTTCCCCCATCACTGATCTGTCATGTCATATTTGCTGCAAAGATCCTCAAAATCCAGGCAGGCTAGGCACAGTAGCTCATGCTTGTAATGCCAGCACTTTGGGAGGCTGATGCAGGATTGCTTGCATCCAGGAGTTTGAGACCAACCTGGGCAGCATTGGGAGACCCCCAACTCCACATACACACAAAATAAAAAATTAGTCGAGCATGGTGGCAGGTGCCTGCAGTCCCAGCTAGTTGGGAGGCTGAGATGTGAGGACTGTTTGAGTCTGGGAGGTCAAGGCGGCAGTGAGCTATTACTGTGGCATGGCACTCGGCTTGGGCAACAGTGAGACTCTGACCACCATCCCCCCAAACTCCCCCCAGAAAAGCAAAAGAAAAACCAAGAAAACCCCAGATAGCTTAAAGACCAAGTTGGGCTCCTGAGGCTGGCATCCAGGCCTCCGTCCTCAGGAGGGTCAGAGGTAGCCAGCACAGAAACTTTCAGGAACAGTCAGATGATAGGGGCCAATGAGAGAAGTAGGTGGGAGCTATCTTAGCAGTTTAGGCCACGCTGTGAGGGGTCTGCAGGAAGCGGCAGAGCTGTGGGAGGTAGCAGTGCTACACTGTCAAACCGTGAGGACCCTGGTGAGCTTGGGCATCTGTGGCCGACTGACAACGCAGGCTCGGCACAGGGCGGTGACTGCTCTTCAGAGACGTAGCTGACCCATGGCTGTAGGTGCAATCTCCCAGTTTGGTAATGCCGAAAGCCCATCTAACCATCCAACACGCTATCTGCCAAACCAGGGTTATTCAGGTGCCCCGAGTGACTCTGCGCCTTCACCAGAACATGGTGTGATCAGCTGTGGCCACCCCAAGCCAGAACCTGATAGACTTCTGAGTTGGGAGCCTAAGGGACCACAGCCCACTCCTGCAGTCGTGTCTAGGCCGTGCTTCTTGCAGCTGTTCCAGTCAGTGGCCACACATCGTGAGGACACTGAGGCAAGCCCGTTTCAACCCAGGCGCTCCTCTGATGGCCCACTATGGCCTGAAGACTGCTGTCCTGGCCAAACCTCTGGAAGCTGTACTTGGTCTCTGATGACTCCACGCAGTTGTCTCCCCTTCCTCCTCACTGAAGTCCGATGAGGCTCCAGGCGTCCTTTTCTCTCTTGCGGGTGTTTCCTCTGTAAGCCCAGCCCATCTCACTGCATCTTGGCATCTGCTTCTCCTAGGACTTGGATTCATCCACCACCAGTCTGTGAGGATGTTGGCTGCTAAACCCTGTCTCTCTTGCAGTTGAGCAGTCTGCCCAGTGGCAGCCTGAGACTGAGCACACTTCTGCCTCTTCCCCGCCTCCTGTACTTGCCACATCCCTCACAGCTGCCCAGTGAGTCCCTCCCGCTGAAGGCCTTTGTGACCTCTCTCTCTGCCCTACCCTTCATTGACACCAACTCAGCATCATCACTGACACGTTAATGTGGACATCTCTGTTTTTTGCTGTAAATGCTCCCTGGGTGTTGTGCACAGACCACTGACTGATGAATGATACCCACAGGCCAGTCACCTGCTGGAAGATGTCAGGAAAGACAGATCACTGCCCAGGAGCAGTGCTGACCTTGATCTTGTCCTAACAATGTGACTGCTAGGGCCAGTGAAGGAAATGGGCCCATCCTGTGATAGCAAGGAGGACAGTTCTGGGAAGTCTCACCTCTGTCTTGGCTCCCTGGGATTCCATGGCTGTCTTCCTGCTCTTCATGGAGAAGGGAAGCTTACAGATGGCCAATCTGTGAAAAGAGAGAAGTCAGAGGGTGGCTGGGTAGATGCCCTCCCCAGGTGTGACCCAGATCTGATTCCAATACCAACTGCGGAGCTGGGGAGAACGCACCTGCACGATCCCCACGTGGGGGTCTGGCCAAAAGGTCTAGGGAGGCAGACTCCCTGCAAATCTAGGACAAGCTTGCCTGGGAGTGAAGACCCTGTGCCCCAGGAGCTGGGTGAGGTTTGTTGTTTACATCACTGAGGGGTTAAAAGGATATGGAACGCCTGCAGGTGAGGTCTTGTGTTTATGGTTAGGACTCAGAGTCCAAGTGTTTTTTTGCATTGGACAGAAGAACACGTGAAAGCTGTCTGCCTCTTCTAGCCTCAGTCTCCCTGGGTTTAAACTCAGGATAACCACAGGGGCAGACAGACTTGAGAAGGCCATAGGCAGATGGCCTTGGCAATTATTCAGTACTGTGTAACACCAAAGCCTTTACAAATTAATAGCATGGGGAATGTGAGCTGTCAGGAATCAAAGTCGTCAAACACATAGTCAGTCTAAGGCAATGAGTGATCCAATGCAATTTGGATACTGATTGCATCGAAGAATATGTGAAGAGTTTTAACAGCCAGTGAAATCTGAACACTAATTGGATATTAGATTATCAACATTAGTTTTGTTATTATAAAAATATTTTGGGTTTTAAAAAATAAGCCCTTCCTTGTATACAAACTTTCAGAACATTCATGAGTGAAAATGATGTTTGCGTGTGCTTACACACCTCTTCTCACCCTCAAAAGTCAATTGAGCATTATTGGCCACACTTGATAATTTTTAGAACTGAATAATGTGTATTGGGTTCATTTTACTATTCTCTCTGAATTTTCAGGTAGAAATACAAAGAACTGTAAATTAAAGTGGTGGGTATAATTATTTCATTAGAGTATTCACTATACTTTTTTTTAAAAAGTAAAAGTAAAAACACAGAAATATAGGGACGATAAGAGGGAAATGTGAAGAACAAAGATGGTATCCTGCGGTGATCATGGGGAAAACAGCATACATCCACTAGCCAGCAACTTTGAGACAGAAGAAGTGAACAAATACTATGGTGTTGTGAAAGGAAAATAAAAACTAGGAACCCCAGTCCACTCTGTCAAAAGGAAATATTAAACTGAAAGCTGAGTCATGCAAGAAGCTGCCTTTCCTTTTGTTTCTACTATCTCAACAGTAGCTATTCTTCTACGGGCACCTTATGTTATGTAAAGTGCTGATTTACCGAGTGTGAGATGAATACATGACTATTCTCCTACCCGTCCTTCTGTCTTGCCACTGTGGATTACCACAACCCCCCCTTTTTCCCCTCCAGCCCACTTTTCCCTTTTAAACACTGAAGCTCTCAAACTCATTTTTGGAGAAAGCCACTGACCTCTCTCTGGGGCATGTTCTCAACCTTGGCAAAATAAACATCTAAATTGATACTCGACTCTGATACTTTTCGGTTTGCCCATAATTGGAGAAGAAAAGCAGAAATTTCTTTTTCTGATGGCAGTTGAAAGGTGATTTAAAACATTTTGTTATTTCTATATACTTATATAAATAGTTTACATCATTGCATGTCCCATCTGTGCTATCTTTACCTATTCCAAAGTCACAAAGATACTCTCCTGCATTTACTCAAAGTTTAAACATTTTGTTTTTGATGGTAGTGTAAATATGTATTTCACTTTTAACTGTTTTCTGCTAGGTTATAGAAATACAAGTGCTTTTTAAAAATACTGACCTGATTTTTGAAGTTCCTAAACTGTGTTACTAGTATCTAGTTGTTTAACCACAGATTCTTCCATGTACATAGATAGCAAGGGGAAAGATGCCAGATGTAGGTGATGGGGAGGAAGGCAGCAAATCACACTGCCACGTGTATACCTATGCAACAATCTTCCATGTTCTTTACATGTACCCCCAAACCTAAAATGCAATAAAATAAATAAATGCGAAAAAAAAAGTTTTTCTATTTCAACATTTATGCTTTTTATTCCTTTTTAATAGCTTAACAGATTAGCTAGATATTCTAGGATAATGCTAAGTAAGAGCAATGAGAATCAACATTAATGCTTGTTCTTGATCTTAGTGTGAACACACTTCACCATTAAATATGATGATTGTAGTCAGGTTGTCACACATAACCTGTTATATTAAGGGAAATTCTTTCTATTCCTCATTTGCTGAGAATTTTTACCCTGAATGGGTATTTTTCTGCATTAAGACAGTCATGTAGGCTTTTCTCTTTTGCTCCCTGAAAGCAGTGAAAGGAAAATAAAAACATGAGACCCCAGGTCACTCTGCCAAAAGAAAAATATTAAGCTGAAAGCTGATTCATGCAAGAAGTTGCCTTTCCTTTTGTTCCTAAGCAGAGAACTACAGATAAAAGGTTAAATATCTTCATAGGTAGCTACTCTATGTTCACTCTAGCCTTGGGTTTTTGGAAACAAATTCTATTTGGCTAGAATATATCATCCTTTTCATGTATCGCTGGATATTACTTGTCCATATTTTGGTGAGAATTCTTGACTATTTTTCTCTGGAGTGATTACTTGCAAGGGCACATAGGAACTCTGTTGAAATGTTCTGTATCTTGATTGAGGTGATAAGCGATGTGTGTATACATTTGTCAAAACTCATTATATAGTTAAAAGTAGTGCTTCTTATGGTATGCAAGTTACACTTCAACAATGATTAAAAATCCTTTCTGAGATCAAGTATATATGGGTAAAATAACAAGACATTTGGATTTGTTTTAAAATACTTTGGCACATAAATAGGGAGAAGGGATAACTCTAACAAAACTACTCCTGGTTTTAAAATTATCGAAACTGGATGAAGGCAAAATGGGGATTCATTTTACCATTCTCCCAATTTTGCTGTCCATTTGAGATTTTTTACAATACTAGTTTACAGAAAAAGCGTTACTCATATTTCTAATTATATGCTTAGCCAAAAAATTGGCTGAAATAATTTTATATGAGCCAATTTTATTTGAAAACAGTCAAAAGTCCCCAGGATTCAAGCAACTGCCCAATCAAGAAAGAGCCACATTAAAAAGAGAAGGCAGTTGGCTGGGCACAGTGGCTTATTCCTATGATCTCAGCACTTTGGGAGGCTGAAGCAAGTGGATTGCTTGATCCTAGGAGTTCGAGACCAGCTTGGGGAACACGGTGAAGGCTCATCTCTACAAAAAATATAAATATTAGCCAGGTATGATGGCATACACCTATAGTCCTAGCTATTCCTGGCTTGAGCCCAAGAGGTTGAGCCTGCAATGAGCCTTGACCATGCCACTCCACTCCAGCCTGGGCAACAGAGCAAGACACAGTCTCAAGAAAACAAAACAGTAACAACAACAACAAAACTAGACAATCATATTTACAGCCCAATACACCTTATTCCCAATGTTCTAACCTGTCCAAGTGCTGCCTAGTGGAAAAATCTCATGGTGAACTTGCCTATAGAAGCCTGGGGCAAAAAATTACAGGTGCAGGATACAACAGACCTTCTAAAGCAGCATCCCAGTTTCCACTTCCTTACCTCAAACTTGAGGAAGCCCAGTAGACCTTTCTTACAAGGTTCTAAGCTGTTGGAGGCAGCCTGAGGGACTGCTCTCTCTGTTTTGAGGATCTCACCTCTTAAGGAGGAAAAGCACTGGATCCTGCCTGGCAAAAATGCAGACAGTCTGAAGAGCAGATGCCTGGGGCAAGATATTATGAGTGGAGCCATACAACAGACCATCAAAGGCCCAGGGAGAGACTTTTGGGACAAATAAATATTTAAAAGCAGCTGTCTATGAGAAAATGGAAAAAGCCACAAGGAAAGGTAAGATCTATGCTCCAAAAGGCCCGAGAAAATCTCAAACCTTCTCCTCAGACTGATCCCAAAGCTCAGAACCAATGCCAAGGTAATAACAAAAATCTTCCCTGGCAAAGAGTCAGTCTGCAAAGACTGGAAAAGGAAGTTATTTTTTCCATAGTGACTAAGTTCTAACAACAACAACAACAACAACAACTCAGAAAACGTGGCCCAATAAATGGAAAAAAATAGTGATGGAAACTTTCCCTGAAGAAATATAAGCTTCAGGCATACGAGACAGATTTTAGAACTGTCTAAAATATTCTCAAAAAGCTCATGTGAACTTGGATAGAGAAAAGGAAATCAGGAAAATATACATAACAAAATAAGAATATCAACAGAGATTACAAAAAGGAGGCAAATGAAAATTTTGGACCTGAAAACACTTACTGTAGAATTATGGTGTCAGAGAGTATGAATGCCTTTCAGACACTTGACATATTGTTAAGAGTACTAAAAATTCAAAAGACTAAATTCATGTATTCATTACCTTTTTTTTTTTTGAGACAGAGTTTCACTCTTGTTACCCAGGCTGGAGTGCAATGGCTCAATCTTGGCTCAGCGCAACCTCCGCCTCCTGGGTTCAGGCAATTCTCCTGTCTCAGCCTCCCGAGTAGCTGGGACTACAGGCGTGCACCACCATGCCCAGCTAATTTTTGTATTTTTGGTAGAGACAGGGTTTCACCATGTTGACCAGGATGGTCTCAGTCTCTTGACCTCATGATCCACCCGCCTCGGCCTCCCAAAGTGCTGGGATTATAGGCGTGAGCCACCGTGCCCGGCCTTAAATTCATGTATTCAATAGTATTAAGAGAATAATTTTACTGTATCCTCACTGTAATGTTTATGAATTTAGCAGACTTTTCAAATATAATAGACGACATGTCACATCATTGTTTATTTACATTTGTATTTCTTTGATCACTGATGATTTTGAATATCTCCTGTAAGTTCAAATCTTGGATGAATTTTCTTGTCAGAAAATTGTTTACAGCACATTACTGACCCAGTTATGAATCCTACTGTGAAGCCTGTTAAATACTATTTCATATAGAAACCCGGAAAGGCCTCTTTTCATTAAAGATGCATGCATTCTTAAAAAAAAAAAAAAATCCAGTAGAGGTATTTAACAGCAGATGAGGAGGCAGAAGAAAGAATCAGTAAACATAGAGAAGAATTTGAAATTACAGAGAAGAAGGAAGAGAAAAGAATGAGACAAAGTAAACAGACCCAAGAGAGTTACAGGCACCAATTGCTGGACCTATATATGGGTGTTTAGGAGAAGATATAGACTACTGAAGAAACAATGGCCAAAACTTCAAAATTTGAAGACAGACATGAATCTACAAAGCCAGCACACTCAACAAACTCCGAGAAGAATAAATTCAAAGGGATCCACCCTGAACACTATACTTCTTAATGATGCTTACATGAAACCAGCTTCAGAACATAGGACTGGCAAGGGAAGAGAAGTTAAGAATTGTGGCATCCTGCCTCTCTCAGGGAAAAACTGTCACCACAGACTGAGAGCTGGAGAGGGAGAGGGTTCCATCATGTCATTTTCACAGCCCATAGTGGCGTTTCTCTCAAGAGTGGACCAAAGTAGGGTGGTGTGGCGGTAGTACTTTGTGTGTCAAATGTTACAGACTCTCACTGTTCTCAGAAGGGCTCATTTTCAGTTGATTCTTATGAATAAATATTTCTTTAAATTCCTGAGTGCTCTTAAGACAAATTCTTTGAGTTTAAATGATTGTTTTTGGTTTATTTTCTAAATTACTAGTTATGGTGTTTTGTTGGAGATATAGTCCACATAGCTCCTCACTGCCATTCCAGAATCCACATTTCTGATTATAGTAGGAACCAGAACTAGGGCTAGGCAATTAGGTAAGTGGTATGATCATTATTTGTCCTCATGGGCAGAGCAGCGAAAGACAGTGGAGAAGTAGAATTAAGAGAAGAGCCTGGCAGGCAGAAGAAGGAAGGGAATGGAAAAGCTCTGGCAAGGAAAGAATGAACAAGGCTCAGCAACTAAGCAAGCAGATGGGAAGTTTGCCAAGGTGGGGAAACTTCCTTTACCTAGATCACAAGGAGAAGTGAAACAGGGGGCACTATAGAGCTGGCTTCTAGATGTTTCTGTTCTCATGCTTCCCGTCTTAATGAACCTGCGTATGAAATCTGAATTGTAAGGAGAAATTTTTGAGACCTGGAAAATTTCCACATAAACTGGGTAATGAGTGAAATTAATGAATTGCTAATGTTGTTGAGTATGATTCTGGTACTCTCGTTAGGTTAAAAGACAAAACAATAATGACAAACGTAGTCCTCAGAGAAGTTGCTGCAGTAAATTTAATGATGTCTTAGATTGGCTTCAGGATACTCTAGCCTGAAATCAGAAAGCGTGGGGTGGGGAGTGGGTTGGAAGAAATAAGAATAGCAAAGTGTTAAGGTGCAAGAAGGGAACAGAGAGGTCTGTTATATATTCTCTTTACTTCAGTTCCTACTTCAATATTTTTCACTGTAAATTTGAAAAAAACTGAATATCCCTTCCAAGATAATTAGGAGAGGAAAAATACAGAAAACTTTCATTTCCCGCGTGTGAATGGAGAACACTGCAAACTGCTTGGTGTCATTCCTGCCATCTGTTGACATCTGTGAGAGTTAGCATCCTGTAGGAACAGAAACTGAGAACCAGAAGAAAGTGGTTTTAAATTAGTTACCAATAAATTAGATACGAACATGAGGTAAACTTGAAACCTTTACCTCCTCCATGTACATTTCATTAAAATTCTCGAAGATAAAAAAAATAGCTCCTACATTTTGGGGAGATGAAAAATGTTCATATGCTGATTTGATGATCAAGACTTCACTATATACATTTCTTGAAACTCTCAACTAGAACTTAAAATGAGAGAGAATTTGTCTCACTTATACCTCAATGAAACTAATTCTCAACAGAAACCCCCCAAAATCCCAGCTTGCTCCACAACGCAGTCCACTTGATCCCAGATATGTTACATAAAGTAAAAGTTATTTTTTATTTTTTTTGAGACGGAGTCTTACTC